AAATATCCCTAGTTGGATAAATCTTATTGTGGCAGTGGTCTAGTGGTTAACCGAGGGTGGTTTTTTTGGACTCTATGCCCGGGGTTCAACCCCGGGGGGGTTGGTTTATTGAATCGTGTCATTAGTTTTCTTAAGTCATGTTGGGCAGTAAGGGTTGAGCTAGAGTTCGTGGCACGCTAGCGGGAGTTGTCGTAAAAATTGAAATTTTGGTCACGGGTCCCTTGCAAAATTTCCTATGGTGTAAAAATATCCCTGTTGGATGAATCTTATTGTGGCTAGTGGTCTAGTGGTTAACGCGACGGGCTGGGTTTTGAGACCTAGGGCCCGCGGGTTCAACCCCCGGCGGGGTTATGGTTTATTTGCAATCGTGTTTTAGATTTTTAATCATTTTTGACGGCAGTGAAGGGACTTGGTAGATTTCGTCACGGCCACGCTAGTGGGATTGTTGAAAAAACTTGCTTTTGTGGTACGAGGTGCCTGTGCTAATTTTCATGGTTGTAGAAATTACCTAGTTGGATGAATCTTATTGTGGCTAGCTGGTCTAGTGGTTAACCGCGACGGGCTGGAGTTTTGAGACTCTATGCCCGCGGGTTCAATCCGGCCCGGGGGGTATGGTTTATGATATTGTTTATTTGGATTTAGTAAGGCCTTCGATAGAGTACCTCACAAGAGGAATCTAAGAAAAGTGGCAGTATGGTAAGGAGGTAAGTTTGCTGGTAAGGCATGGCGCTGTATAACCTAGTTCCACCAGGAGGCCTGGTAACGGCCCGGGCGCGGGGGCGTTGACCCCCAGAACTCCTCCAGGTTTAAACCCCAGGGAAGCGTTCCGGTGAATCATGTAAGTTGGGACTGGGCGCTGACGTGTCGGATTAACCGGGTTTATTCTTGTTCGTCATCTGCCGGGGTGGAGTGGTAACCGGGGAAAGCCTCGGTCAGATGACCAAAAGTCCAGCTATGGGTCTATTGACTAAGCCCGCGTAAAGGAAAACACTTTTTTCCTGTTTCCTGCAACCGGGACTATTGAGGAATGAAGTAAGAACCAGAAATAACTTTGAAATTCAAGGTTAAATTTAGATTTAGAAAAGAGGTAGGTTAAGTACTGGTTTTCTAGTTGTGGATGAGAGGGAAAACGTTACAGAGGTAAGTTAACAAGAGTAAGTTAACAGTAAGTAAAGTTAACAGGAAAGGTAACAGAGTAAGTTAACGGAGTAAGGTAACAGAGAAAGTTTATTAACAGGTAAGTTAACGAGTAGTTAACAGAGAAAGGTAACAGAGTAAAGTTAACAGAATAAGTTAACGGGAAAGTTAAGAGGTAAGTTAACAAAGTTAACGGGAGTAAGTTAACAAAGTTAACAGAGTCATTAACAATGGTATTTAAATATGATTTGATAATTAAGACTTGTAAAACAGTAGGTATCTTTAATTTTGAAAAGTTTTGCCTACACAGTGGGTTTTTCTTCAGGTCGA